ATTTCCCTCCTATAAACATTAATTTTGTGTTAAAATAAAAACAGGAATTTTATAGAAAGAAAACAAATTGACCAAATAAATAATTTTGCAGTGTGGCAGTCTTCTGACAATTTCATTTTCTTCTTTTTTTTAGAAAAGCATTTCAAATGTTTGCAGTTTTATTTCAAGATGTCAGGTAATAAGTTTTCCTTGATTACTCCTGAACATGAGACAAGACTTAGATATTTTCAATGATCATATAAATCATTTGAGGGAGGATCCAGTGCAAGATTGATAAACAAGCAGGCTTCCTCGATGAACTTAAAAAGGCTAAAAAATATATGAAAAGTAATTGAACTATTAACAGCTTGCCCTCAAAATTAAGTATAATTTAATGAAAATCCTCTCCTCCTCATTATTTTGGTAGTAGGTAGATGAGTTTTACAACTCTCATATGCAACCAATCTTAGTAAATGAGGTGTCTAAAGAAAGAGACTTTCATGGGAACTTCATGGATTTCACTTCACTTTAAAAATATTAAGAATTTGAAGGAAAAAACACATCTAAATATTCATGTTAAATGCAACACTTAGGCAACAGTCTTAAAATCTATATAGTTATATAACTCTAAGACCAAATGTTCTACGAGCCTTAAAACCTGAAATTTTGAGGTCTCAATAAAACGTTCCTCAAAGAAATCCTCCTTACACTGTAATCTACAGGATGAGATCTTCTTTGACATGCTATTACATTTTTGCTGGTTTGGTGTTTCTATTTCATTGCATTGCAATTTCAACTTCAAACATTCAAAAAGTAGGATTGTACTTGCCCAATTCTGTATTTTCACAAGAACAATTTTATGTAGCTTTCTCCACAGTAAAAAGCTTTTCTAAAATTTTTGTTACTATTAAGAAAAGCAAAAAGTGCACTGTCAAGAATGATTGCATTATTACTTCAAATGTTTTTCTTACGAAAGTGTTGTGAATGCTACCAAGAACATCTGTCAATAATACTAAATAAACCATTTCAAATATCAATTGCATTGTTTTTTATTTCTATTTGATATTCTGTAAGTTCACTCACAGCCACCTTCATACATTTTTTAAACGAATAAACATATTTTTTTAACAACTTTCTCCCTTAATATAAAAATGGAGGGATAGGGAAGAGGGTGGAGTTGAACAGGTGAGAGTACAGCACAGAATTTTGTGTACATTTTTACAAGCATGTCTGCAAAATATTTTTAAAGGACATTTCTGTAGTTTTAATCTAATTTAGTTTTTACTATAGTGACTTCCAGAATAATATACTATATCAATTCCAATACCATTCAGATCATGAAATTGTAATATGCTGTGCACAAAAAGGTTTTGAAATGCTTCATTAGTCAAAAATGCATGGGCAAGGAACGTTATGACAATTCTCCCGATTTGGCAGATAGGTGTAGGGCTATCCTACATTTTCTTATCTAATAAAGAGGCAGAATAAGCACAATATTTCCAACTACTGCTGCTCTACTTCCACCATCATCTCATAATTACCAGCTAATACTTCTTCCTTTTAAATCTTTGAGCTCCTATACTCTTTGGTATAAAATATACCTTAAATGTAGAGAGCAATCATTCACCATCACATAATGTTAAAATCACATAAAGCAACAGTCGTACCAATACCTAAACCAAACAAGGATCACACACAACCAATTTTCATCCCAATTATGTAATATATGTAAACTACATTAACGTGTATTATATGTAAACTACAAAAGAAAATAGTCTGTCACCATCTGAAATTGACCTTAGAAAATCAATACCTGATCATACTACATCAAAGTGTCTTTAGATCAACCAACGATCACCTAATGAACACAGACATGGAAATTTGTGATGCATTAGTTATGAACCAACATGCGATTGCAGTCTCACTTGACAATGAGAAAGCTTACAGAATGATGTATAAAGACATGTTAATATCAATTCTTACAGATATGAAAGTAAAAGGAAATATATTAGTTCCATTATTAATTTTCTAAAACTGAGGAATCTCAGAGTCAGAATTCAAGACAAATCATCACAAGCAATTGAGATGACTAATGATCTCCCACAAGGGTCAGATGTAAGTTCTACTCTTCCTTATTGCAAATAAATGAAGTGAGTTACAGTGAGCCTGTGAAAATATTCCTTTTTGCAGATGATATCACCTATCTGTGTAGTGGTAAAAACCTTCATGTTACTTCAAAAATTATTCCAGAAACCTTAAATAATAAAAGAAATTGGGTAAATAGTTTTCCATTTCGAAAACAAAGTCAAAATTTATAGTGTTTTCCAAAAGTCACTCTAGTAGGGATGAAGAAGTCACACTGAGAATTGGAGGACATCTACATAAAAGAGCACACATATGTAAAATGCTTGAAATGACCTTGGATTCCAAATATTCATGCAAAACATCACTTATCTGCTCTAAAGGTGGATTATATTAGGAGATTAAATGTTATCAAATGTTGTCTTCTATTAAATGGGGTGTACAGACTGAATGCTTAATCAAAACATATAAGGCATTAATTTAGTCCAAACTGGATGGGGCAGTCATTTATAAGTCAGCTTCGAAAAGTATATTGAAAACACTGAATCCAATAATCAACAGTGCTAGTCGATTTAAGTCTAGTTGCTTTTAGAAGTAGACCCTGCAACAGCTTACTAGTGGAAGCAAGACAAATACCACTAGCACTAAGACGTAAACTACAATATCTAAATTATGCATATTCAATGTTCAATCCCACAAACTCAACTATTTTCCAACATCCAAAAACAATCATGTATGATGTACATCCACAATCCCCACTACCCCGGACAGAAAGAAACATTAAACACATGAAGGACTTCAACATTATTAAACCTCTCAGCTTACCTAGACGATTAAATTCCATACCACCCTGGCAAGACTAATATTACCATAAACACTGAACTAGCAAATACTCCTTACATTTCCGCTGAATATAATACAAATGTCCAAGATGTAATAAAAGACGTACTCCAAAAGTATGACAAATTTTATAAAGTTTACACTGATGGATCCATACGAGAAGGAAAAACTTACTGTGTGGTAGTTCTAACAAATGAACATAAAGTCAGTCCTTATTGCCTCCTGGACTACTTTGCCATTTTAATATGTGAAACATGAGCAAAGCTTAACATTACTGAAATCAGTGTCAATTCTGCAAACATCATGCCTATCTTTTGTCATCTTTTCCAATTCAATATCAACCCTTAAGCCATTGAAAACCAACATACCAACAATCCCTTATATGTAAAAACTTTTATTTTCCCAAAACACAAAAGGAATCAAAGTAGAACTAGTTTAGATTCCTTCTCATAAGAAAATTATTGGAAATGAGAAGGCAGTCACAGCTGCAAAATGGCAACATCATTTCCAAATGCTGAATCGTAAATTCATGGCACCCAAAAAGATATAAAAACCCTTTCAAGGACTCTTGCTTCAAGTACGGAAGATCACTCACAATGGAAGGTGCAGTCATCAAAACTACACTAAGAAACTCTATTCTCAAACCAGGACTTCAGAAATCAAACTTCAAAAGAAGAGAAGAAAACGTCATTACAACATTATGGATCGGCCATTTTAACCTGAATTACTGTCATCTAAAAAATCCAATCTTGAACCCTGATCTAAATGTGGTGCTACCAAATATTTTCCTCATATTATCCTTGAATGCCAAGGACTTGATAATATTAGGAAATCATTGAAAACAGATGGCAGATTATACACACTATTCAAATCAGAAGGTTGCAAAAAAATTTTAAAATTACTAGAAAGAAGCAAATTGATTGAAGTAAATGTAATATAATAACAATATGATTTTTATAATAGAATATAATGTATATGATGTAATGATACAATAGTATTTAATGTTGAAATTGTTGGTAATGTACTGATGTAGACATAGTGTTAACTACTATTCTATGCATCTTGAACTTTGTTAATAATAATAATAATAATAATATTTTATAGACTTACACAAGTATCAAGCAAGGTCAGTTTCAAGATAACATTGTTCATAATAATAATTCTTATTTCTATCCCTGCCTTCCTGAGGAAAGTTCTGTGTTCCCTATGAGAATATATTATTGACTTCATGACTAGTTCCACCTTAATTTCACTTTTTTAATATTCCATCTGTACCTAGGTAACTTCAATAAAACAATTAAAAAGTTGTCAGCTTCAACTAAAACACTGCAAAGAAAGACTTACTACTTTGATGCCCCCTCCCCAATTTCACATAACAGAGATGCCTATGTTTTTAAGTCCCCAACTTTATAACATTCTCTTGAACTTCTGCAATAAATCTTGGTGTTTGAAGGGTAAGACCCATATCCTATATCATATATGAAAGGCTATTGAAAAAACATTCTATTCCACAGATAACTTTTTCCTGCACGACCGTTCAGACATACATTTTTCTTGACTTCCTTAACTAAGATATGATTGTGAGCTGTATAATAAAATAATTCAATTCTACATATTATATATAATTACACTTTTGTACCTTAAAATATTAGCATATAGTTAGTATATTATCCCAACAGATATTAATTATAATTTGTTTCAAGTTTTAAATATATATTTAAAATTGTATCTATGTTTGTCTTATTTCTCATTTGTGAACATATTAACTTTGTATTGTAATGTATATCATTTATGTTAATATGAAAAGTATCCTTTTTGCGTTGTGAATAATCTCCAACTTGCAATAATGCAAATATAATACATTACCAGAATTGGGCATATGCTAGTATTTTTGAGTCTTTTGAGATATACTTTATAAATAAATGAAATAGGTGTAATAAAAAAATGAAATGCTTAAAATACTTAAATAAAATAAAATAATGTATAGATAATTGTTTTGCTTTCATTCCGAAGTTCATCAAACTAACTCAGACATGCTGAATATTTTTTTTTACTATTGTCAATTTTCTGGTTAAATTACATTAAGAATACATACAATATATAGTTAGTTATTGCACAGAAGTGTGTACAACTGCCAATTACTAATTTATTGTAGTTGACAATTACAATATATTGTTGCAACAAAAAAAGATACTATACTGAACATACAATTGTTTTGTAAGTATTTTAAATATGTATACGTTTGGCAAAAACCTAATGTAATTCAGTATGAATTTAAATACTTATTTACAAAGTATTTTAATACTAAATTTAATGTATTTTGCCCAACCTGTACATTAATGTATATTACCACAAGCTTGTCATCTCAATGTTCACTCATTAGTAGTTTTATTCAGAGATTACCTCCTAATAGTCGAGAGGACATTAGCTGCTTTAAGCTTTTTCAAATTATCATGATATATGAAATTGTAGAAGTTTTCCTTTTGAAAAAGGTTAGCATATTCCATTATATTTATATGCTTCTAACAGCCTGCTCTAGGCCTTAGTAGTAGTGGTGTAATGTCAGGTAAAATTGAATGACTATTCTCCCCTTTTACAAAAACACTGAGTTATTCCCAATTCAGAATGGGGAAAATAAAAGTAGCAAAGGATAAAAAAAAATGTTTTGAACAATAAATTTAATGTCTTTATCCATACACAATAATAAAATAGATTCCAGGCAAATGTACTATATACACAAATCGTTCTTGCTCTCTGGCTTCACAGATCCATTTAAAAATCTTTATTTAAAATACATTTAAAAACATTCATGGGAAACAAAGATAAAATGGAATACACAAAACTATCTGATGTAGTGAAGGCACAAGTTCATGACTAGTTTAGTGAGACTAATACATCATTCTTTGGTAATGAACAGCTTTAAAATTAAAAATATACAGAGAACTAAAACAATATTCAACTATGAAGGGAAATAGTGATTCAAATAAATTTAATTTACATATTGCTTGAAATCTCTTGATTTCAGAAAGACACTTAACACATAATTATCACAGTGGTAGAGAGACCTTAAAGTTCAGATATAATATCACATTACTATTACTGGGTCATTAAAACTACAATTGTGCTTCTAAAAATAGCTGCTATGTGAAGTACAATATTTAACAGTCTGGTAAATAAGTAAAATTTAAAATATATTAAAAGTTGTTTGTACATGCTTGAAATAGTAATACTTTCATATAGAAACAATATGACAAAATATAAACAGTACTACTATTACTTATCTTCATCACAAAACTAGAAAAATATCTTGCACTGATATGCATATTCATTATAGTCCATGACTATGATGAGTCTTTCATAAGACAATCTTCACCCCTTTTAAAGCCTTGTCTCCACCATTCCAAGACTATTAAGACTCAGAGCCAACGCATTCACATCAATACTGTAATCAAGATCTGCCTCTGGAACAGAAGTATGATTTTCTGGAGTATTATGTGTTCTCTCTTCATTCTTAGTTTCAATGGAATGTTGCACTTTTGGACTGACTATTACTTGCACTATCAAATTAGATCGTTGCCAATCACGAAATCTCAGATAGTGGAATCTGAAAAATAAACAAGGTTTTATATTCACAATTAACTTAATACATGACATTTTTAGTTTCCAAACAAATAAATAAATATTGAATTATACTACGTAAGTAATCAACATACTTTGACAGCTAGGCCAACATATCACTTACCTGAATGTAAGTCCACTCCAAATAACGAACGCAATGAGTAAAATCAAGCAGAGCAAAGCTAGCCCTGTGGCTTGCCATTCATGCTTATTCATGTAGCTATGAGCAGCAAAGGCACACAGGTAAACAGACATAATACTCAATGGCAGAAGAACTAATAAACAAATCATGTCACCAAGAAAACATTTTGGACCCATTACACCATCGGAGAGAAGCCACTGAAAGTTTAAAATCATGCTTGAAAAATAAAACATCTCCAAAGAAATAATAAAAATACATTAATTATATGCGGAAATTACCTGACCAATATGCCGTGTACGATAGGTAACATGAAATCTGTATTTGCATATTTCACATCTATCTGAATTTGACATTGACAGCCACTTTTCAAGACATTTTCTATGCATGCGTCCCAAGCTACCCATGCAGTTACATGGTGAAATGAGCGATTCAGGAGAGTCCTCTAAAAAAAGCAATAAAACTTACTGGGACACTCTAAAAGAGATGAAAGTTCTATGGTTTAGTGGATGCTGTACTATACCTTCGTGACAAATTCGACAAACAGCATTAGAACTACAATAAAAATCCTTGCATCTCAGCGGTGTGGTGTAATTCGGAGAAGAACGAGGTTGTAAAACCATGACAACGGGACTGTAGGGAGTGTTCTGATTTTTCTGTGAACACATACGAAAAATCATCACAAATTCTGACAAAGAATTTGTAATTATAGATAAAATCGAAATATCACTTTCAAAAATCTGAATTTACAAATCAGGGAAATTGTATAAAACATGAAATAATCTCAATCGGTAAGAAGATATACCTTCTTTTCCCGTGAAAGATTTCCATTTGTAGAATATAAAGGTGAACCATGTCGCTCAGCATCTCCAGTTCCTACAGAAAACATGTTCCTTGCACCGACGAACCCGTACTACATTGTTACTGACAGCCGGCCCTTGTAAATCCCTCCTTTAACCTCAACCTCGGCCTTCATGATGCGTCATGGGCTTTTACATCGCGCCTTCATAGGGAATTCGCAAGAACTGTCAATACATGCAAGGCAGTACCGCTGCCTGTGGCTACTACGTGAACTAAACTGACAAAAACGGAACGTTACGCGCAGTCAGCCAACAACGGCCAACAACTACTGTAACTGTTAGTGAGTGCGAGTTGTAGTGGGTGTACGGGGAAGGATAGGGGGCTCAAAGTGATAGTTTTAATACTTTCTGATACAATTTGCGTGTGTTACATAAATATATTTGTCATTTATGTGTTCGTGTGTGAAATGTGCTCGCAAATGGTTTGGAAACCTCGTGTGAATAAAAGTAATCAAAAATTTGTGCATTACCGTTTATGAGAACGTTTAAATGGCATGTAAATTAAAAATCGCGAAGTGCATTTTAGAATAGTGAAAATGAACATTCTACTAAGGACGTTTACACATAGAAGATGATTACGGTCCGCGGTACTTTCTGGGCTGTAATATTGTTAATTATTCTATCAAGGTCAGTATTTTTATTTGACATGACAATTAAAAATTGAAGTGACGTTTTTAATGTAGTTGCTAGAATTTATCTAACAATTTTTGTATTATTTCCTTGTGGATAGTCTTCTGGATGTGTCTGGTGATTTTGATTTAAAACTGACAAGAATTGAAGATGGAAATAGTACTATTGAAAATGCCATTTTAGAAATAAATTCAGAAGTTCATAAATCACAGAAAATTGTGGTTGATGCCTTGAGAAATGACATCCCTGCATCAGAGAGGGATAAAAATGGAAAGAAGGTTAGTCAAGATGTGTGAGAATGTCTTTATTCATGTTTTAGAGTAAATTGTATTTGAGTTACATTTTTGGATTGATTGTAGTTGCAGGTGGCTGAAATCCACTCAAGCTTTGGAGAAACCCTCTCTCCTCACACTGACTTCAAATCAGAGATCTCCCACCGTAAAGGCACAAATGCTGCTCCATCAGTCTCCCAAGTTGATGTTTCAAATCGGTGAGTTTTTCTGCATGTGTTAATTTTGTTATCCAAATGTTGACTCTATTTGAGTTTGTTTTGCTTAATTTTTAAAAAAAGTACACACTGTTATTGAGGGATGTGCAACATTTGACAGGCGTTTTGAATGTAGTGTGTGGTTGTAACATTAATGTGAACTTTTTTCAGCATCTAATTTGACAGTGTTTCTCATGGAATTATACAAAATTTGTGAGACTAAAATGTTTCCAATTTAATTATGTCTAATTAATTTGTTTGAAATTGCTAATAAATTCCTTGTGAAATGATTAAATGAACTTGTGTATACGAAATACAATGTGTTAAATCTATTTTTCTTAAAATATTTCCGATTTTTAATGTTATTGTAAATTATAGATGAGCTCCCTCAAAGGGGTTTACTTGCAAATAATCTAATGTTGATCTTTGGCGCGCTTAGAAAACATGTTTCGCTCGTGACCGATCACTCCGCGAAAGTGAATCGGAATGCACCGAACAGATGAAACCGGGAAGATCACGACATGCTGCCCCCCACCCCCAAAAAAATTCTTGAAATAATAGCTATATCGCCCGTAAAGTGTGTATCGCAAAACGCGCGGAGGATTTTGATCGAAAGTATGGTCAATGCAGTGCCGAGGAAGTGCACTTCGAAATACGGATGTTGTCTGAGAAAATTAAGGTATCTGTAGAAGTAAGTTGATGGATCGGATTTTCCAATTAAATCCCATCGAAATTGGTGGAACTTTTAAAATTCATGTGAATAAATGGTACCGCCTTTTTACAGAGTCTTCCAAAAATGCATGATACGTATAGCCTTTGGATTGTGGCAAGAGAAATAAGCGATTTGGCTTTCTCTGATAGAGGCATCCAGACGGACATTCTGATGTAATATTCTTACGGATGATGTTGGACCCCTAGGCATTTCTTGTTGTATTAGTTTTCCAATCGCTTCAGATTTTGTGCTCCAAAGTTTGGGGTAACTTGAAAAGACCTTGTTAGTTTTTATTTTCTTTTTCCACGTACTGGCGCACGCGAATAATACTATTAGCATTCTACTGACCGCCCAGTTTGCAGGCACTACAGCAAACCTTGTTGGAGGTACGAAAGTGTATGAAGCTTAAAACCAGTCGTCGCTCAAAGTATTTTTAACTATTTATTTGAAAGAACCTATGAATGAGTGAATGCGAGAAAAACGGGAATAGATCAAATTGGTGGTTGAAAGTGTAGCATTGTATTATATTACACAAAGTGTAAATAAGTACTTCAACCCACCGAGATTTGAGCTCGAGTCCCAACTGCTCTAACAGACAGAGCAATGGAATCAAACTCGCCATTCGGAACTATTTTAGTATCTTACTAGCGACATATTTGGAATGAAGCGTGAATTCATTACCATTTCGTTCACCTTTCATTCCAGTTGTATCGAATGTAAAGTGGAATGCGTATACAAATCTGTTTACGACATAGTCAGAAACCGTCCCTGGCAGTTATGATTTTAAAAGGTTCTCCGCGATTAAAAAAATCGCGCTGAAAGCTTCAAGAAGTGACAGACATACGACATGTGAAGGAAGGACGACGGGATCGCAGTTCCGTCGAGATGCATTATTATTATTATTATTATTATTATTATTATTATTATTATTATTATTATTATTATAATATTCGAACTGTATTCTACTTGAGCTGTCTCTTGGAAAACTTTTTCGCAAAACAGTACATCAAAGATTCAGGGAAAATCCTTTTTAATTTTTGAAAATTTCAGTGTCTTGTGCACTGCGTTTGTGTGTGTGTGGGGGATATACTTTAGCTTCTTCGGAAAAATTGACACGATTTGACTTGAAATGACGCGAAAACTTGAAATAATTTGTCTGCACGTGTACTTAGATCTTTAAATGGTATTCATATGTAGTAAGTATTTGTAGATGTAGTAGTTTTGAAGAACCTTCTAAAATATTAATAGGTACGTTTCAATTTATCGGGGTCGGCCAGCTCGAAGGAAATCTCAATTTTGGGGAAATTTGTATGTACGGTTTGGAGGCGCTACTGTTGTTCACAGCCAAACAGATGTTTTGGAGGGGAAAAGGAAGAAATTTTTTTTTTTCGTATCGGAGACCCTTTAAGCGTTCATCGAAATTCCGACATTTTTTGTAGCCTTAAAGCGGCTCCATAAATTCGGCATTCGCCGAGCAGCGAGCTACTGCTCGCCCAAACCCGAACAGCTGATGTGTTCGGCGAATGATCGCTCCCTTTGATGTGTCCTAAAGAACGAAACGCGGTGGGTTGGACGAATACCGAATGTTCGGCGAATGGCAAGCAATCCGTCCCCACTACTCGGCATTCGCCGAATACCGCATGTGTAGAGCCGCCTTTACGTTACTTCCTCTACACTACGTACATTTGTATAATAAGAAATTGATCTGTGCGCCGGGCGGCGCTAGTTCCGTCTGCACGACCGCGTCACTCGTGGAGCCCCCGAGCTGCGCGGGCGCCGCCGGCCCCGCCCCCTCCGCATTAGGCCAAGTGGGCAAGTCGTCCGCGTGGCAAGCCGCACGCGCGCCGGGGCGAGGCGTGGCCGGGTCAGCCGCCGGGGGGCCTCCGTCTCCTCCTCCTGCGGCCCGGTCGCGCCTATCGGCTCAGCTCCCCTCCCCTCCCCTCCCAGCCCTGCTGGTCCCGCTACCGGGATCTCCAACCGTCACTCGCGGCCAGCCAGCTGTTCCTGCAGACGCTCGTTCGAAGACCCCTGCCGCCGGTTGCACAACGGCCGGAGGATTTTGCTTTGCAGTTGAGACGTGACAAATAAGGCACCGTTTCGCTGAACGATAGAGTGTTGTGAAGTGTGCAGGTTATCAACCGGGAAAATGGGGATGTGGCTGATCGGTTTGGTCCGAGAAGCTGTTGTTGAGAATGTGGGTGTGTGGATGCTTGCGTTCTCGCTTGCCTTTCGCAGGGCTTGGGATTGTTCTGGTATTTAGGGCACACCGAGTGAGTGCTGACGACGTTTTAAGTCAGTCTCGAATTGAAATTTATTAAACAGTTTAATATCCGAGGGATATGTTTCAAGTATGAATGTAAATATCAGTATTTCTCTCCCTTCGTGGGCTCTGAAATTAATCTGATTGGTTTCTGTTGCATTTACCTTGTATCGATAAGATATTACCTCTCATTTTCCGTATCGAAACATCTAAGTTAAGAGTATGTTTATTCACAAGCTGTACCTATTGTCTTTATTTTCATATATTTATAGATCAGTGAAAATTCATGTAAACATTAAGCTGAAAGACGACTTATTCTGTTTATTGAAAATGCCATTCGTAGAGTTTCCCATTTTTTTCTTTTTAAGACAGCTATGATATATAAGAACCCCAATAAAAATTATGATCGTTTGGAAAATTTCATTAAAAAAAATTCTTTCAGGTCAATAGAAAACTGATTCTTTAACCCTTCTACTCTAGTCCCAGGACTTAGGATAGGACCTAGGATTCGAGACCCAGGCTCGATTTGCTTCCCTCTGAAAAGTATTCACAAGAACGTCTTTTACAAATTTTATTTCTCTCTTACTTGAGTTGTAATATCTTCATTTTTTAAAAGTTTTCTTGGTTGGACGTAATTAGATTTTTATGTGTTCAGGGCCACAAATGACCCAAAAAATTTCCATGTTACACTGCTAAATCAGAATACGGATTGCTAAAACGTGTCCATGTCCGTTTTATAGTATTATATTGTGATTTCTGAATGAAAATTTGTCTTATTCGTCTATTAAGAGTTGAAAGCTCTGTTTCAAAATTTTCGAAAAAATGGTGTTAGGTTATGCACCTGTTTGAAGTATGAGAAAAATACTACAACCGACAATAATAAAATTTATAGTATTGCACTGTTTTTTTTTATTTAAAACCCCATTGTTAACTTATTTCCATTCTGTCAAACTTTTCGTTTTTGCAAGTAAACATGTTTAATTTTTTGATACTATTCGTGGCTTTCTAATACATTACAAATGAAATAATAAATTGCATATTTTGTCTATTAATAATGCCTATTCCTGCAAGTTGTGAGAAATTTCTTGTCAAAAATGACCAATCACGTAAATCCACGTGAATGGAGAAACAAGAGTCTGAGTTAAGAAAGTAGAAAGATCGATTTTTAATCGATTCACTCTGCCGAACTCTTACTTGGGAATTTCCCTGTGAAGTTCTTTTGTCAGATTTCTTGCGAGCAGTTCTTTTGCCGACTGCAGCATCATCTGCGGAAGTCGCCTGGCGTGTCGTGACGTTAGTCGCATGTCTGATTGACCTTCGTCGGACTGACCCATTTCGCCTGTGAAATGTCAGAAAGAAATTACTTCTCACAAAATGCTTTCTTGTATTTCTAATTGCTCCGTTCTCATCGTGTAGTTCAATGAATATCAATCACAATTGTATTGCATTGTTTTATTCAATTGAAAATTATTTAATATACCCCACAAAGTGAACTAGAAAAAAAATCATCAGTGGCTTGAGGATCATGTGTAGGCCTAAGACAAATACGTATGAAATGACTAAATAAAAATGAATAAATAAAATGTTTACAAAGAACAATAATAAAAATAGTATACTACAAATAGTTATGTTAACTATCGAAACGTGAAAGAAAAAGCGAAAAGTAGAGTAGAATTCTTTGTGTATTCTTTATCTATGTGTATCTTTTCTTGATAAACTACCAAGATATTATTCTTAATCCCTTGTTAATCATAGCAAATTCTACGTAAAAATTATAATTTATTATTGGTTATAAATAAGATTTTTCTTGGTTCTATTGCTTTTATATTATCGTTCATAATGTACACAATCGTAGCCCATAAAATGGCATAAAAGTAGTATCAACGTAAGAGTTTTTCTATTAAACTCTATTATCTCTTACGATTTTAAAATTACTACTTATGAATCTGTCCCTTGTGTCTAGAGTTTATTTTCTGCTGACACGCTATTATCAAATTCTTCCAAATATTTTGTCTCTTTTCTTGTATTATTTATAAATTATTTGAAATAATAAAACAGTTCGAGAAGCCACGTAAGTTTTTTGTGAAAACCAGAGTGAAAACTTTACTTACGTTTTTGTACTAAGTCGGAGAGCCATGATGTATTCGATCGAAAGTGTTTACGAACCCGAACAATTGTACTACACACCACACTGTATTCACGAACATTCACACCACTGCTTGACCTGACAAGACGATTCCTTCTAAACTTCTGTGGAGCGTCTTAACGTTTCGACAGGGAATCCCAGCCAAGCACAAAGCACCTGGCAGGGCGCCAAACGTTTCGAACTTGTTTGTCAACTTCCGCCTCTTGTCATGTGGATGATAGTCTTCAAGAATTGCGTAAAATTACGGAACTTCGTGCTTCCGGAAGATAATGGTTTCTTTTTTTAATACGCGGCGTATCCAGAAAGTAAGTTACCCTTGATCTTGAACAGAAAGAAGACAGTTACGTAGAAAAAACTTAATTGTAGCAGACACACGTTTGATCCCATTGTATGACAAATATCTCCGTTCTGGTGGTGATTTTGTGGGAAAATAGTGCAAGATGCTGCCTCTACAATAAAGTCTTCTTATTTTCTGGATGCGCCTCATACTAGGTGAAAATTTTTTATTTGAATATATTCGTTGAAACCTGTCGCAAATCCGATAAAATTTTCTGTGTGAGATTTCCCAGTACATTGACATTATGAATGGAATATATGATTCTTGATTATGAAGTTGTCTTTTTTTTAGTCTTTGTCTTACATGTAAAGCATTTGTTTGTTCTATTTAGTATCAACATTTGTTTAATTTTCTTAAAGAATAGAGCTATTGTTTATAGTTGGGGTTAACCTTATTTTATTAATGAATGTAATCCAATTGTTTTAATTTTTGTCAAAAGTCTACTTGTGGACGTAAAGGTCGGCTTGGGTAGGTTTTTCCTATGTGCAGGTCACCTTGACTTTCCTTTGGTCTTTGGAATACAGGTCCTGGTAAATGTCCTATGGGCCCTACACATAACTACACTATAGTTCCCAATAAATAATTAAGAAAATAAACGATACAATTTTCAATAAGAAATAATATGAAGATTTTTTTACATTGTTATGAATGACTATAAACTTTCATATAAAACCTTGATAAGACACCTATCCAGAGGGTCCTAGACGTGTGGTTAAGACTGCCTATGCGTTAATTCACTCCTGCACGAGTAACATTTTGCGCGTTAATTGAAATGACGTAATTACTGAAATTCAATGGGAGATATCGAGGATCGTTTCGTCTTACAGAGTAGGATGTCCCCTGCTGGAGATGCATTAATTTCTCCTCTCCACACCCTGAAGTGTTCATATGAAGGACTTCAGTTGTCAGAAGTGGAACTAGAAAAAAATTGTCGAGAGCGTCACTAAGTTTCGTTCAATTTGTGTTGCGCCAACGAATGTGGTATTCGTTTCACTCTCCATTCTTCAACGGTCCCCTCTTGATGGTTTGAAGGCCCCCCCTCTGCATTTGGATTGAATAGTGAATCCAGGCGCGACATTACTCCCGTAAGTGTAGTGCTTTTGTCCCTTGGGAGGTGGCGGTGATCTTTCCCCGCTGGATGGTGGGGCTCCGCGCCAGTCTACATGTCGACCCCAACCTGATATATCTCACCAGCGGGGCACCGCCCCACAAGCTCTGAGCTCCCGACCGCTCTCCTGGCATGCGTGGTAGTGTAAGTGCTTGTAAGCATAAGTGTAAATTAAGGGTGAGGTTAGGACAAGGAAGAGGAAGGATAGATCGCGCGCGGTCCGGGGCCCGTATGTTAGGGTACTGCTCCGGCATTCGCCTATTGTTGATCGGAGAAACCACGAAAATCTACCGATCGGAGCACCTGGCCGCTAGAATTCTCCTCTAGACAGCGACAGAACTCGACACAGCTAACTAGATAGCGTCGATGATCCTGCTACCACCGACTCGAACCTAAGATCTCCCGGCGCTGCAGTGACATCAGTTAATGCCCCCACATCCCCCGGTCTCCCCCTCGTGAAAAAACTGCCGGTCCCAACCCCGATTCCTTACCTGCTTAAACGGCAATCTCGGCCCCGAAAGCTTCGCCGTGTCGCCCTGGCGCGTGAGGCAGGCGGATGCTGGAGGCGAGGTCGCTCGCACCCGCAAGGCCAGCGAGGACCCGCTCTCGCCGCCGCCCCGCCGCCTCGCCGCCCCGCCGCCCCGCCGCCCCGCCTGCACTGCTTTGGAGCTGCGCTAGGCGCTCAATGTTAGGCGGTGCGGAAGGGTTGTCGTGTTTCTATTTTGACGGACTGCGTTTGGGCTCCCGTTTCCTGAAAGAAAGAAGAAGAAGAAAACAAACCAACAACAACTAGGAACCGCGAAGAAGGTCGTGATATCTCTCTGCGGTGCTCTTTGAAATGATTGCCAGGAACAAACATTAGTAATGAAATAACATGTTTCACTTACGAAAATATTTAAAAAATGCGGCTGAATAGTAACTTTTGTATTTCTTAAGTATTATCGGTTGTGTAAAATATTAAAGTAAGCTCTAATGACGAATGAAATTATAAATGAGTTCGTGGTTTTGTGATTAATAAAGGTAGTGCAAATGATTGTGGAATAGTGAATTGCGGTGGGAAGGAGTACGGGCACGCCTATGGGACGCCGAAAGCAAATATTCAGACATCGTGTACTACTGACGTGTGCAAGCCGTAATGATTGATGAAACAGGACGTCACTGCACTCTGATATTTGTTTTGTGCCTTTTTAATATAGGTCGGAGAAAGGGTATCATTGATTTAGGAAAGGCCAAGTGCGACGCCTTTGCTTAAGTATTTGGAGGTAGTAAGTGAATGCGATTGTGCGCGGTGCTCGCGACTTAATGTTTCGTTACGTCTTCCTCTCTCGCTGTAGGTGAACCCTGTGCATATCTCCAATTCATTGCAAAGTGACTGGCGTTCTTTTTATTAAAGTTGCACCAAACATCAGTTAAGGAACGTCTCGGGTCTTCCGCGCGATGTGTGTTAATCCCCGAAGTGCCACGTAGGCGTTTTAATCTAATAATATAGCGTCGGTGCAAATGAAAAGTGACTCGTCTAAAATGGTCTGTTCGCAGGAGAACGGTTTTAATCTGACCGGAGGCGTTTATTTCACGGACAAAGATGTTTTACGATACGGGTGTCCCTTCATTAAATCATGTAGACTGCTTATCTTTATTTTAAGACTTTTGATGCACTCGGCTTCCATTAACAATTTTCCTTTTCCAGATGACTTGTTTGCTTCTTCGGTTCAAATACTCTGCAGTGCGCCAAGCCACGCGCTGCAGCCGTTCGGCGTCGAGGGGGGAGCGATAAGTCTCACGCGGCGGCCCTGGGAAAGGGATCTTACCCGCGCGACTCGGAGAAAAATCGACCTCCCCCCCCCCTCTTCCTCTCAGGCCTTTCAACGCAAGGCAGCTGCAGCGCAGTGAGCGTTGTGTGCTCGGAAGCAGCAAAAACGTTAGCGAAGCTGATAGCTCTAAACTTCTTTAAATAACAATAAGTGTCTACAATTTTTTTAAAATAATTATGGGATATTCTGTGTAGTATCATGGTTGGGTTGTAAATCATCTTTATGGATTTTTTAGTGGCATAAATAGACGATTTTCTTAACGTATTTCTTAGCTTAACTCAAAAATGACGATTTTGGGGACTTCATTTTTCTTGTGCTTCGAAGTTCGGGGAAGCTCTGAGGTTTCTGAGCAACACTCACTAGCCCGAGAGAGGAAATGCCGTAAAAGGAAATGAGGAATCAGAAGAAGAATATGAGCATTCGTTTTCGTAAAGTGATGCATGACGTAGATTTTTTTTTTTTAAATCTTAACCTTTCGGATATAATATAAAAAGTTTATTGATAAAGCAGTTTGTAATTACTCTCTCTTGTCAAGTGTGAACGTTTATTTCCGATTCCTGCATATTGAAGTTGGATTTGTGGAGAAACGAATGCAGATTCCCGATGACGTGTGTTTTTGCTTTGCGCGCCCGAGACACAGGATCACCATCGACGCTGCCTCTCGCCACTGTCGGCGAGCACGTGTGCTGTCGCAAGCACGCGACGAGACCTCTTAATCCGAGCGGAGGGGCGGAGATATTGCAGTGAGGCGATAACGTGGCGCCGGCTATTGTAAATGACGGTAACGTGTCTCAGGAGGGCGTTCCACGTATCTTGCGGCGATGATTTGCGTTTTCTCGTGGCGCGAAGGCACCGGAACTTCACTCCTCATGTAGATTTTAGTAGCTGTTCTGTGTTCTGTAGATTGAGATTGGGCAATTAAAATTAGTAACGTTTTCTGTACGTTATGGGGAATAAGAAATAGGTAGGTGAACATTTGTATTTATTTTTACTGCGGTTATCAGATTCTTTATCGATATCGTCACTTAAACATTTTATCCCAGATAAAATTTATCACGGTGTCTGATCGTTTTATCTCAATAATTGTTTTATGAGGAACACATGCAAAGGTATTGCTTATTTATTTCGCAAGTGTGTATTTTTGGTGTGATTTTTCTTGGACGTGAATTAGAATGTGTTGTGTAACCACGCAGTGAATCTCGCGCGAGGACAAATTATCAATAAGAACTGAAAATATACCTGAACAGCTAAACATTAAAGAATCATAATATTCCAATGGTAATGTGGTCATATGAAGAAATGGCATAGCCCCATATATTTTCACAAATTTTCCGAACTGCGAAATATTCGTATCCGACTGCGAGGAGTTGACTCGGTTGGGCAAATTATTTCGAAATAAAGTTATTTGAATCCTCCCTGGAGGCATGTCGAAACGAAGCTCCTTTTTCGAACCTCGCGGCCTGCTCGTGAGTCACGAGTGTCTTCTGCCGCCGTGGCTAGCGTGCCACATGATGCCCCCTGGGTCGATATGAGACGTGCATTTGAACTTCAAAACACGCCCACGTTCGGATGCACGAAACAGGAAAATTTCAGGCGTGGACTGGAGCTAGACCACGAGTCGCCAATTTCCTAGTAATGGATCTTCTGAGTCATCGAGTCTTATGAATCTTTGAATTCTTTACTTTCAGGATATCTATTATCTTTCTTGGCCCCTTTATACTTACAGAAGTTCAACTTTTCTGTTAAATTTTATATCCTGTATCCAGTGTAAACCAGCAAGTTACTCGTAGGAATATAA